CTCCACTGAAGAGCCTGTCAATGTTACCTCCCCTGCAAGAAGTCCTCTAGTACAGAGAAGGGGGAACAAAGAATGTTCATCAGAGAACTGCGAACAATCCTTCCAAATTCAGCTTCAGTGGCCTTTGTGGAGATCCTCCTCATGCACACCTTTATAGATTTAGAAGTCTTAGTTTTGTGCTCACATTTCTGTATGTAGCGTCTCTTTATTTGTTGGTACCTCCAAAGACCAGCACAAGTTGATGCTTATAAATGTTGAATGGATAAATTAAATTGATAGGCAAGAGAAGCGAGCAGGTAAGAAAGAGCTGGAGGAGGGAAAGTCTAGGTTGAGGATGGGCTTCAGGGGGCCTTTGCTCAGATGGGACCTGCATTTGGAAATTGGGAAAGGTGGCATGTTCCAGGTATCTGGGTTGGTTCTCTGAGCCCACATGGAGCAAAGAAGACAGTGTCAGGACTGGAGGGCAATTGTGTTATTACAGGTGACCTGGGTTATATGTTAAGCAAGATCGTAGTGGTCCCTACATTTAAGATAGTCCTTTCCCAGAACTCCTGCGAAGAAAGGAGAGAGACAGAGGTGATGTCCTTCAAAGAACAGCACATTCAGTGTTGAGGTGGACTGAGAAGGAGAGAGGCAAAAGTGGTCATTGAATGGTTCACCAAAATTAGGAGTGATCCATCTGTGCAAAAGCCAGAGGGAAGAAAGTTGCATCATGTGCTAAGTAGGGGACAGTGATGTAGGGGACAACCCTGTGCTGTAGGGGACAGTGCCTAAGTGTGAAAAGAAGTCCTACCAACCATCCAAGTGTGGAGAAGTGGTTCTTAGAAAGGATCTGGTCTACAGAGAGCACATAGCCATTCAAATGAAATAGAATAATAAGATTTTACAAAAGGAAGAAGGAAAAACATCAGGAGTAAATTTGAGAATAGAAAAGGGAAAATCTAATTTAATCCAACCCCCTAAACATCATAAACCAATCATAATTAAGAAAAATAGGCATAAGATGAATAAGCTTCTAAGAGCAAAGCCTCATATTGAAACAGAAAAGAGTTTTCTCAGGAAGCTCACATTTCCTGTCCACTTTATTTGCTTGCAAAACAGAAGAGTCCACCATCTGGAGTAATTAACTCTAGGGTAAAAATGTCAGAACTTGGGCAAACAAAGATTAGCATCTAGATAACAAAAATAAAAACAAACAAGGAGCTAAAAAACAAACTGAGTGAAATAAGTCTAAAGGGAAAGAATTCTGAACAAAACTCAGAAGACTCCGGGGACAAATTTATTCTGCTGTCAGAAAATTTTCTGCAGAGAATCCTTGGAGAGCTCTTGCTCTTATTTGAAATCACCTCATGTTTAAAATAAATTTTGGTAAAACTTTCACAAAATCAATAGAAAGATCTATTAAAACAATTTTTTTTAAACAGCAAAATTTTCTCCTTTAAAATTCTACAAACTGCGGGCACACACACCTGTAATCTCAGCAACTCAGAAAACTGAGGCAGGAGGCTGTCAAGTTTGAGGCCAGCCTGGGCAACTCAGCAAGACCTTGCCCCAAAAATGAATGAATGAATGAATGGTGTGGCTTAGAGGTAGAGCACTTGCCTACCATTTGTGGAGCCCTAGGTTTAAATCCAGCACTGCAAAAACAAACAGGAAAAAACCACAACCCAAAGCCACAAGATCTAAAATGATTAAAGTAACTGGACATAGGTAACTGGGTCACTCAGCGCTTGAACCTGACTTTGTCATACCATACTTTAACAATATGCTGCACCAAAAAGCACGCAAAATAATTTGGAAGGGAGAGTGTAAGGTCTGAGCTTCTCAGGTGTTTTCCCTGTCCTTTCCTTTTCAGTGCTAACTACAAATCCAAATCTTCATAACTAAGCCTCAGACAGGGTAACATTCCCTTACACTTGGAGGGAGAGACACCATTGCATTATAAAACTAGTCCAAATAATCTGGTTGGATAGGTATTAAATGAAAATCTTTCTCAAGAATATCAGTTTGCTTCTCTTGTGCAAAATGAATATTTGTATGTTTGTAATTGATACCAATTCACCCTGTTTTCTGTTACAAAGTTTTGCCTTTACAAGTATTATTTGAACAGAAGTTTCTTTTTGGTCTCTCAGGACTTACAAATTGTTGTCATGCCTTATAACAATTATCAAAACACTCATTTTGTTTGGTTGCTGCTGTCCAGTGAATTGTGGGCCTCCAAAAGATGCTGAAGTCCTAATCCCCCAGCACCTTGAAAGGCATCTTATCTGGAAATAGGGTCTTTGTAGATGACCAAGTTAAGATGAGGTCCTTAAGGTGGTCATTAAAGTGGGTCATTATGAAAACAAGGCATGTGCACACAGAGACACACCCAAGGAAGATGATGTAAAGACACAAGGGGAATGCCATTTACAAGCCAAGGAACATCTGAGACTACAAGAAGCAAGACAAGAGAGAAGGAACTGAGCATCCCTCACAGCTCTGAGAAGGAAAACCCTGCCAAGGATTTAGCTCAGTGGCACCATGCCTGCCTTGAAAGCGCAAGGTCCTGAGTTTGATCCCTGGTACAAAAAAAGAAGGAAAACCCTGGTTACACCTTGATTGCAGATTTCTGGTTTCCAGAGCTGCAAGACAATAAATTTCTATTTGTTAAGCCATCCAATGTGGGGTACTTTTTTTGGCAGCCTCAGAAAATTAATACAGCTAGGGGTAGTGACACACCTGTAATCCCAGCACTCCTGCTGAGGCAGGAGGATTGAAAGCTTGAGCCCAGCCCAGGCAAGACCCTGTCTCAAAATAAAAAACCAAAATGGGCTGGGGATGTAGTTCAAAGTGAAGGCCCTGGATTCAATCTCCAGTGTCAGCAACAAAACACAAAACAAAACACAAAAACAGCAGCTGTGAAAACAATAGGACAGGACTACTGGCACTTTCTTTTCTCCTACATTCATGACAGCAAAAATTTTTTTTTAAACTTCAAATAACTAAATCTGTTTCATCAGACAGCCAAGATCTGATTATAAGTCTAGTGCTTTTTCCATTACACCATAGCTGCAAATGGGCACATTAGCATAACCAGGCATCTATTTTTCTTCTGTGGTTGGTTTTTGTTTGTTTTGTTTGTTTTTTAGACAGGGTCTTGCTATGTAGATCAGGCTGGTCTTCAATTCACTATGTGGCCCAGGCTGGCCTTGAACTTGTGGTGATCCTCCTGCCTCAGCCTCCCAAGTGCTGGGATTATAGGCATGAATTAGCCTGCCCAGCTGTACATTTTCATTATTAACTTATAGGTGCTCCTTTAAAAATTAGGCATCTCCGGGTTAGGGAGATAGTTCAATGGAAGAGTGCTTGCTTAGAATGTGCAAGGCCCTGGATTTTGATAGGGAAAAGTTTTAGATAACTTAGTAGATTGAATATTAAGGTAGTTGTAGAAGCAAAATAAGTAATGTATTCCTTTAAGATTTGCTTTTCCCATAACTCTTATTGTTTAAGGTGATGGTTATCTGATTCTTTAACCAGTAACTACATTATGGATAATATTTTAACCTAACAAAGTTGCAAATGCCTGGGTGAATTTACAATGTGTATGTGCTTATCTTGTCTGTGACTTGTAAATAGGAACTGGAATTGTATTTTCACATCAAAGACCACTAGGGATGAGAGAGTGACTAACAAAGGTATAAGAAGAGACTCATCCTGTACAGTTATGGTTCCAAGAAAAGCAAACATCATTTTTGGCTGCATTAAAGAAGCATCATGTATTTAAAAAAAAAAAAAAAAAAAGAAGAGACTAACAGCCGCACAGACACTGACCAGACCAGTTTCTGGTGGTCCTTCCTGCTTGCAAGTAAAGGTTTTATTATTTTACCTGAATTCTGTGTCTCCGTATATTTCTTTCCACGATTTCTGGAACAATTTGACCTCCAGCACTGGAGGAAAAAAACTCAGTATCTTATGTCTGCTTTCGATATTGTGAAGATTTTCTTTCAATCTGTCATTTTATCTTTAAAAATAGTATAATTAAAAATAAAATAAATAAAAATGGTATTATTTTCCATAGATATTTTTTATGTAGTCAACTTTATGGTTTCTAAATTCTGTATATTTTTAAGGAAGGCTTTCTCTATTCCACGATCACAAAAATCTATTTTTCTCAACATTTTTCATTTTTCCTTTTAAAAAAATGTTTAGAAGCTGGGCATGGTGGTGCACACCTGTAATCCCACCACTTGGGAGGCTGAGGCAGGAGGACTGCTGAGAGAGTTCAAGGGCAGCCTGGACTACATAGTGAGTCCAAACCCTAAAGAAAAAAAAAAGTTTAGAGACCAAAGTTCATGCTGTTCCAGATGAACAGCCAATTGATAAGTATCATTAATTGAATGCATCTCTTCCTACTAAGTTCCTAGAGATACATGGGTCCATTCCCTGCCTTTCTTAAGCAGTAGGCCACAGAAACACATGCACGTATTGAGTGGCTCAGATGGCAGCCAGCTGGAGAACGCATACATGGGCTGTCTCCTGTCATTTGCTGACCCGCACAGATGTAGGGCATTTCTTCCACATTTCCAAGAAGTGTCAGACATTCAGATTTTTTTGTTGTTTTTTGCTTTTGTTTTTGAGAAAGCCTCTTGCTATGTAGACAAAGGCTGGCCTCAAACTCACTATGATCCTTTTGCCTCAGCCTCCCAAGTGCTGGGATTACAGGTGTGTGCCACCAGGCCTGGCTGACAACTAAGATTTTTATATGAAATCTTCAGTTTTTAAAGTGCTGGAAATTAACTTTTTAAATAAAAAATTTTGTGGACAAAATATTTGCAAGCTGAGAGCAGTCTGTGGCGCACCAGTTGGTGACCTCTATTCCAGATGCTGAAATATGATAGTGCAGTCAGATTGCATCTGGGAATCCATCTCCAACTCTTTCCACTGCAAACATGAAGAAGCCAACAAGCACAGCAGGCCCTGAAAACTTCCCAGGAAAGAAAAACATCGGAATGACTCACCCATGAGTTGTCGAGGGGGCGCCAGGTTGCTACAAGAGGAGGTAGGTCGGCAGAAGGGAGGGGATGCTAACATCCTTTTTCAAGCTGGGCCCCCCAGGTCCTGCTAGGCTAAGTACAAAAAAGGACAATAGGTTGTAAAGAGAATGGAAAGTGAGGTGCTAGACCAAGAATAGAGCAAGACTTTAGGCCTCCTAAGCAAGTTGGGAAGTGATGTCATCTCCTATCTAAAAATGATGCAGCTTCCCTGGATCCTTTCCAGCATTTTAAAAAAGAAACTGGACCAAGAGGCACAGGTTTATAATCCCAGCACTCTGGGAGGCTGAGGTAGGAGAATCACAAATTCAAGTCCCATCTGAGCAATTTAGCCAGACCTTGTCTCAAAATAAACAAAATGAAAAGGACTGTGTGTGGTGGTGCACACCTGTAATCCCAGCACTCTCGAGGTTGAGGCAAGAGGATAGTAAGAAGTTTGAGGCCAAGCCTGGGCTACACAGTGAACCCAAAGCTGGAATACATAGCAAGACCCTGTCTTGAAAAAATTAAAATAAAATAAAAAGAGCTGAGGGCATAGCTCAATGTGAAAGCCCTGGATTCAATTCCCAGTGGCACAAGTAAAAAAGGAAACAAAAGAAAAAACACAAAAAACAAAACAAGACAAAACAAAATGAATGGCCACAAACAGAAGTCTTCAGCTCTTACATAGAAGGCATGATCTGATAGTATCAGACAAGTCACATTGTAGAACTTCATGTTTGTGGAGAAAGCCCCTCCATATGCAACCCTGCTGTGTTGTCCTTAATAGAAGAAACTGGCATTAGGGGCAGTCAGAATGATTTCTAATGGTTCTGAAACATTCAGAAAGGAGACCTGTGTGGAGAATAAAAGATTGTAGGCCTTTTCTCTTTCCCTGTGAATATCTCTGCAGAATCACATATCCATTCAACTCACTGAACACCTCCTATGGGCTAGGCACCCTCTTTTTGGGAACATAGCAGTAACAAATCCCTGGCATTTTTCTTCCCTTAGGCTGGGTCAGTCATCCTTAGTCTAAACTGTGACCCAGACTGGACTTGCCCTATCCCTCTTTGGCTGAAGCAGTGACCTCAGGTCAACTTTTGTATTTTGCTCCAGAGACCTTGGCTGTTTCCCTAGTGGTTACTTCCTGGAATAAACTGTCCTGTGCCAGGAACACAATATGCTTTTATATGCCTGAGGCATAGATACGTGGTAGACTCAGACCCAAATTCCAGCCATGCCTTATTCTGACCTACTTTTAAATGTTTCAGGTGACACACAATTTCCTGTGCACACACTCTTGAGAGCAGGGATGGCAGGAATGGCTTCTCTTGAAGCACAAAATAGAGTCCAGCTGGTGAGGAGGCCACTTCCTCTGACAATTTCATCTTGTGGGGGATATGTCTGAGGGGCAGGACTATACGCTAAATATATGCAGGGTAGTCCCACCAGTTCTCTCATGCTTAAGACCCCATCAGTTTTTGTTTTCAGACAAACACTATCTCCTATTGACTATAGAACTGTGTCTCCCAAAAAGATATGCCCTGGTACCTGTGAATTTGACCTCACTTGAAAAAGTCTTTGCGGATGTCATGAAGGTAAGGACATCAATTGAGATCATCCTTGATTAGGGTAGGCCCTAAAACCAATGACATGAATTTGGTATCCAGTGGTGTTCTTATAAGAAATTGAAAAGGAGAATATACACATTGATACTAGGGAGAAGGCCATGTGAAGACAGAGACTGGATTTATGCTGTTACAAGCCAAGGAACACTAAAGATGACTAGCAGCCACCAGAGAAAAGAGAAAGGGATAAAATGGAGTTACTGTCAGAGCCTCCAGGAGGAACCAACCCTGAAGACACCTTGATTTCAGATTTCTGGCCCCAGGACTGGGAAAGAACATACGTCTGTGGTTTTAGGCCACCAAGTTTGTGGTCATTTGTTACTACAGCCCTAGGAACAAATATAAAGACTGGATTTGTTTTTTTCTTCTGGGCAGGGATTACCATGTATAACTTGCCTGGAGACTGCAGCCTTCATTCTATTGCCCTGGGGCCTTTACCAACAGTTTTCAGATGACGTTATCATTCCCAGAAAGACACCCAAAATGTGTCCACCCAGCAGGTGTCTGTTCACCAGCAGAGGAGACCTGGCACTCCTTGTGAGGTGCTAGGCTCTGTAGCTTCAGGAAATGCAGCATCAATGTTCTCTTCAATATCAGATCTGTCTGTTCCAATCTCAGCCCTTTCTTCCTGCCTGATCCACAAGCTATTTTCTAGCTGTTCTTCTGCAACTTCTAGTTCTTCCTGTTTGTAGAATTGACACAGTTTCCCAGGGCAAGTTTGAGGAATGTAACTCAGATTTGGCTTTACAACCAAACACTGCCTCATATGGACTTTGCAGCAAGGAGACATCAAAGGCCTGATTCCTCACCATCTGCATGAATTGTGGACCTTCAGCTCAGTGACATGAGTGGTTACTTTGCATTCAGGCATTTATCATGTTTTTCGCATCATGGCTTGCTTGTTCCAGGGAGCCCGGGCCTTGGGAAGGGTGGTACTTATCAAAGACAATCTTAAGGTCTGGCCATACTTCATTGAGCTCATTAACAAGTTGGTTTGTGAACTCTATGTTACTGTCAGAATCTAACACACTGGATGCACCAAGAATTGTGAAAATATTCAACAAAACACTCACCACCTCAATGGCCTGTTTGGTCTTCAAAGGCTGTAAAACAACAAGCTTGGTTGAGTGGTCCTGGTAATATAAAATAAACTTGAACTTGCCATCAGCATTTGACTGCATGTCAAGTATTTCAACTTGGCATCTCGAGTCCACATCCTTAAAAGTCATGGGCTTGGGTGCAAGGCTTCTCTTGGGTAATGGGTTTTGCTGGTGGCACTGTTTACACAGGGTCAGAAGTAAGACATGACCTCTTTGGTGATATTCTCATTTTCCTTGGAGCTCCTCAAGCATGCATGTCCGCCCACCATGTCTAATACTGAGATGCGTATGGTGAAGAATATCAAACAACTCTTCTTTATGTACATTATACTGTATTAAATCTCACTCTCCATGAGTAGCCTCTATCACTTTCTCTGGGAGGAGATCACATCATATTTTGCTGCATGGCGATAATCATGTGATGACTTCTTCCTTAGCTTCTTTGACTTCCTTTATTGTTTGAAACTACTTTTCTTTGGAAAATACCTTACTGTTATAATTTTTGATTTCTACTAACTTTGTTATGGTTGTAAGAAATTTTTCTCTCATGTTACTCATTTGTATTTGACACACCCATTGATTATTTCTAGTTCTCTGGTGGCATTTGTGGAGAGCTGAAAGACAGGTCCTAAAAAGGGGAGAAAGAAAACAATCCAGTTAAATTTGCTGATATTCCACTGACTTTCCCCCTAAAGTCCCTCACTGGTTCTTTCATCTATTTTTGAAGACTATTACATGGACGAAGAATAGTAGAATTTTATAAAGCAACCAGAAGGCTAACTAAGACCATTCGAGACCAGAGTGTGTCAACAGAATGTAAAATTGGTAAGGCCACAAACATGTAGTAATTTTAGACTTTCAGCAGACACAGTAATGAAATTATTAGTTTATATTGTGAAACCTAATTAACTGGTCTTTGTTAAGTAGGAGATAGGATAAATGGCAATTCCCAAGGTGGCAGGCTAATATCTTACCCTATCTCCTAAAACAATAGAAATGGGAAAATGTTGCTAGAGGGCACCACGTAATAATAGCAAACATTTAGATGGAAGTTAGCATCAAGGAATGTATTTTTAGTTTTCCCATAACCAACATACATCAATTTCCCCTGGCTGAAGAGTATCTTCATTTGGGGGGAATCAAGAAGAAATCAGCAGAGATTTTTTTTGTGTTTTTGCAGTGCTGGATATTGAACCTGGGCTTTATGCATACTAGGCTAGGGCTCTACCGTGGGTTACCCGGCCCAACCTCACCCCAATATTTTTATTGTTCTCCTTTTTTTTTGGTACGGGGGATCAAACTCAGGACCTCGTGCTTGCAAGGCAGGTGGCGGAACCACTAAGCTAAATTCCCGGCTCACCCCAATCTTTTTAAATGATGGGTTTTTCCTGACAATTGTACATAGATTTGAGTCCTTACCCCAAGGGACCATGCTCTCACAACTGTCTAACATTATGCAGTCCTGAGAAGCTTCCAAATGTTTAATTTTTGGTCTGACCCTCAAATGTTGTTGTCTCTTGGAACAATACTGGCTGCTGTCACAGAAACTGCTTTGTCTCAGGGCCTGGGCTAAGAAGCAGCTTTAGAAGGATCAGGCAGAGATGATGGAGGATGCCAGGAATAAAAGCACCAACAACTCTGAATGTAGACTATGTGATTATTACATGGAAGAATTAAGGAGAAAGTATTATACCCAACAAAAGGGGCGTCCTGCGAAGTCTATACACTTGCTTGTTTTGACACTGCCTAAACAGGAGGTCATGTTTCCAGAACAAAGCAGACAATTCACATGAACCTGAGCAAAAGTGTCTCCAAAGCAGGGAGACACTTTTAGGTACAGGCTTGATGGCTCTGAACAGGGGCAGGAAGATCTGTTTCCAGAAATGGAAATATCATGCCTCTATACATAAAGTATGTCAGATTACTGTGTCAAAAAGAGATACCCAAAATGGAGTATATGACACCCAAACTGGAGAATTCCTCAGCAAGGAAACCAGACACTCAAGTGTCTAAAGCAGGACTTCTTAGTTAGAACAACTCCAAGATACCAGATGAGGCCAGAGGAAAAGTTCATATGATGATCCCAGGAATCTAATAAACTTAAGAAGATCCCTGGATACACAGCTGAGCAGGGAAAACTCTTGAGAAACAGAAAGATGGAAATTTTTTAAAGCTCTGAGCAATAATCCTGGTCAAGCCCAGCCTACTTCCAGGTATTGAAGTTCTTCCACTAAAAAGAATTAAAAAATTTAAAAAGACACTACTGACTTAGAAACCCATATCAATGTATTGACAAGACATATGTAAACCCTAAAATGTGAAAAGTATGCATTTCAGAATTGAAGAAACTGAGCTCTTTCTAAATGCTCTTTTTTTTTTATGTGCCAGGGATCGAACTCAGGACCTTGTGCTTGCGAGGCAGGCAGCAGAACCACTGAGCTAAATCCCCAGCCCTCTAAATGCTCTTTATACTAAACATGGGTTCAAGATTTCACTGCAAACTGATTTTTTTTGTTCTTTTGGAGATAGTCTCCCAATGTAACTCAGACTGGCCTTGAACTCACTATGTAGCTCAGGCTGGCCTCAAAC